TGTGCAATTCCAGAAAAGGAAATTTGTATCCAGGTTGTAGCTGTGGGGAGGAGGGTATAACCTTACTCTAAATTTGGGTAAAACCCCTTCTTGACTGGGACTCTTAGATGTTCCTGTGGCATAACAAATACTGTAACACTTGACTTTTTTGTTTGATGGTATCATATAACAGCAAGCACCATGCTGTGTATGTGAAAGGAATGATTCTTCTGTTGTTTTTACCTTCACTGTATGGTTTGCAGTTGTGGTCTGCTGAAGCTGTGGATTTAACCATTGACTAATGATTTCCCAGTGTAACAGTCTTTAACAGAGTGAAAAAAGCATCTGCTAACTGGCTGTGCTCATAAACACAGGAGCTCAGTGATAATTGTCCTCAGTGTTGTGAATTGCAGGGATTTTCACTGGGTGTATGCACCCGCTGTGACTGCGGTTTAAGGCAGGCTCACAGAAGCTTGCTTTGAAGTAAAGGCAGTCCAGCCATGACAGCACAGAGCTCAGACTACAGAAATAGTGGTCTAATTGCTGCTGTCTAGCCTACTAGTGGAAAAAAAAGACAACAAACCACAAAGACCAACCCAGAACAAAATACCTGCTTATGTGTGTCTCTGTGTGGTGATATAGAACCATTTCCCTCATAACTGACTTTTCAGTAGAGCGTGGTGATCTTTTCTGATCATTTTTAACTCCTTCCATAGCAGCCATATGTTACCATGACCCTCTGTGAAAGTGGACCAGAAGGTTCAGCTGGTTACAGAACAGAGATCGATGCGAGACTTGGAAAGGCTTGTTTTCATGCTCAGTTGGGATTTTTTTATTTTTTAAGGAAAATTTAACACTTAAAGGTAGTACACTCCCATATTAGAATGGGTTCTAAATGCTCAGTTACTTAACCTCACCGACTTCAGTTATCTTCTGTTCTTCCCAGGTTCTTCCTTTATAACCAGTCCCTATCCTCATTCCTGTTTTACTTTTTCTCCCCAAATTCACCTAAGCTTTCACATCTTTAACTTATTCTTGTACTGTGCTGTACACCTGAGACAAGCAAAGCAGACAGGTCTTTGACTGTCTACACACTTACTACTGTAGGCATTTACCTGGATTTGTTCACATAACTGGATCTGGCCCTACAAAAATAAGTAGCTTCTGCTTTCTTCTCCTTTGGTCAGCAAGACAGTTAATATTTTACTTGCTAGTAAAGAGGTCTTAAAAGAAGTATCTGGGAGAAAGATAACCTATGATCATGAGTCAACATCCTAGCTTTTGAGTAAGTTAGGAGTAAATGAGACATCTCATCAGTACAGATCACCCAAATTTGATGTTTAGCTGGAGTGATCTGCACTGATGGCTTAATAGTATGAAGAACCATACTTCGTTAATTTAAATTCTGCTTGGGTCCTCTCTCTGTTTATTTTGGAGAGAGAGAGAGGTGGGCACTTTGACTGTCTCTGAATTGCCTTCATTAGGTCTGCTAAATTGCACTGAGAGCTGTTTAGAGCCAGCTAGCAGGAAACACTGGGGCCAAAGTATTTGGATGGAGTTCAGTCTGCCTCAGTATGGCCCTACAATCTTACCTCTTTAGGGGGCATATAGTGAGACTTCTACCTGATCAGTGCCTCTATCAGTGTCTTGAGTGTCCCAGAGTCATATGACTTTCCACTAGCATAAAAAAAACCAAGCCTGAGAGGCTATGAGAGTACAGCAAGAAGGGGCAAAGGTTGGTGACAAGCTCTGCAAGCAGAGAAGATCAGGGGATGGTGGCAGGAGGACCTGAAGAGGTAGCTAAAGGATTTGAAAAGGTAGGTGGGAATGGTGAAGAGGGGAGGGTTTGGGCAGATATTAAAGGCAAAGGCTTATTTTGGGAAGGAGAGGAAATGTCACCAGGAGACCTAGGGCAAAAGGCTGCCTTTCCAAAGTGTGGTAGCTTTTTCTGCATCTATCCAGGTACAGACATGCTTTTGCTAGACTTGAAGCACCATGTTTTGGCTTCACTAGCACAATATAGTCCCAGAGGGGTTAGAGAAGTCAGATGAAGAATGTATTTTCACCATGTGTTGCCCCCAGCAATAAAGCTTTGCCAACCCTTCTTCCCCACTGACTACCCTTTCCTTCCCATGCTTTGCAGTTCTGTAGCCTGTGTTTTAAACAGAGTTGTGCATTTCGGGTGCCTTGGGGGTCTGCGCTGTAAAGCAGATCAGTGAAATGGATTGGGGTTAAAAAAAAAAAACCAAACAAAAAAACTCCACACATATACACCCTCCAGGAAACAACAAGAAAAACCAATCCCATATTAGTACTAGGAATAACTTTTTTAAAAGCCACCTGGTTTATAATGCACCCCCACAAAGCTGCAGGAGATGGAGAGCTGCAGTGTGACTGCAGAAGCAAACAGCGGTGGGGAAGCACCTTGAGTGAAGCTTGCCACTGAAGACAAGGTACCCTTTACGCCATGAGGGACTCGTATTTTTGAATCCCCTTTTGCACAGGGAGGCAGGAGGGAGCAGTTGTGTGTGGAAACAAATCCTTGTGAAGTTTTGGTAACAGCAGTGCTGGGGTACAGCAAGAGACAAGGCATAAGAAAAGGGGACTTAGGAGGAGAGGATGTCAAGGTTCCATTTCTCAGCCTCTCACAGCATAAAGAGGTGGCTGACAGAGTAGAAGAAAGAACAGTGACTGAGAAGAAACGCAAGGGGTCTGGGTGGAATTAAAGGATGGGTGAATGATGTGTGTAATACGGCAGTTTACATGGTGCCAATCTTCTATAGGATTTATATTCAGGTGTGTGTAAGTATTTATAGTCATAATACTTAGTTGTAGTGTCATTTTATAAGTACTGTAATTGCAATCTGTGTGTAACAGTAACAGAAAACTAATTACTCTATTAAAGTTGTAATAAAGTTCTTCTGTTTACCATAAAATGATATCCAAAGCAAATCCTGAAAGAAAGACTGGTCTGATTAAAAAATCTTACAAGTATCTTTGGTATTGAGGATCTTTCCTGTGCCCTCATAGGATTGTCAGCCCACAGACTTGCTCTGCATCTGTCTGTTAATGAAAAAGAAACGTTTTTTCTTGGAAAAATGACCTAGCAGGATAGGAAGGAAACTTTGCTTCCAGGACTGTTTTCAGACAGACACAGAGGTAATAGCCCATACGGATTATGCATCCTGATCAGGAAAGGCTCTTCCCAATCTGGAGAAAATCCTGTGTTTCCCCCTTGATTTTCACCTGCTGA